ATTTCCCCTAATAGCTACTGATATTAAACAGCTTTTCATATATTTGTTGATGATCTGTCCTTTTTCTTTTGAGAAATGTCTACCTAGATCCCTGACAATTTTCCCTTGTTTTTTAAAAAATATGTTTGTTACCTTTTTGGTTTCTTCATTATGACTAGATATAAGGTTCACTGTATGTCTAAAGATTTCCTGAAATGCCTGTAGATATATTTTAGAATCAGAACGCTAAATATATTCAACAGATAGTGTTTCAAGTATGACATTGAAATATATCATATTTTTCTTTTTGTTATGGCTAAAACATAGTTTTCAAAGATTTCAGTATGATAAAGCAACCATTAATAGCATTTGTGCTAATTGCCCACATTATGTAAAAACAGAAAAAGCATTACAGAAACAACTTAATTCAGAATTACAAGGAACTAGAAAAACAAGAATAAATAAAATGTAAAATTGGAAGAAAATAATGAAATAATAGAGTCAAAAATACAGAAACCAAAATACAGAAAATGATAATCCTCAATTAAATGAAGATTGAGTACTCTGATAAGAGAAGTTAAATTGACAAAGTTGTAGCTGGACTACAAAGAGAGAAAAAGAGAGAGAGAGAGAAAGTTCAAATATGTGTTATTGGAAATGCAAATGGAGACAAAAACACGGAACTAATGAACATGAAAGACTGACTATCAGCGATTCCAAGGAACAAACATATTTGCAAGCTACAAGAGACATATTTTTGACATTTGTGTTTTACTGAGACAGAAACATGAGAAAAGATAATACTTAAAATAATTATAAATAATGTTTTTGGTGAGATCAATAGTAAAAATTGTACAGTGTGTCAATGAAAAACTCTCTTCCTCATTTTTTTCCTTTCCAGAAATGAGTTACACATTCAATGAGCTAATCACTGTTAAGCCTAAAAGTTACGTTACAAATTTTTAATAGATAAACTAAGCTCTTGAGACTCTAGAAGAAATAACATAATCATGCACGTTTTAAATAACCTTATATATATATTAAATCTATGTCTTTATATTTAATTTTTGTTTTTATATTCTTGTCAAGTAATATCAACCTGTGTTATTACACTAGTAAATTAGCAAACCAATAAATTACATATTCATATGACATTTTTAAGTCATCAGGTTTAAATAGCTATGTCCTAATGCATGCAAAATGAATCCTTTATTAATCTGAATTTTTAATCTGTATCAAAATATTTCAGAATGCCTTTATAATTTTGTGTGGGTAAATTAATAAGATAATTTATCAGTTTGTAGATACCAAGCTCAAAGGTGACACAAAAATTTTTTTATAACTTGTGATTTAATTAAATTTTCATTCACTGCAATACTTATGATAACGTGTTTATTGCTAATTTCATGTCCTGCTGTGCAAATGAGACACGGGAGACAGTAAATATGGAATTAAATTCCAATAGGTTGCAGCTTTGTAAACACATAAAATGCAAAATGGCGTAAAAACTCTCAAGTCCCGCTGATTCCTAATTGTTGTCTTCAGCATGCTTTATGCCACATTGCTTTAAAGTAGCTGATATTACATTAACTCTCAAGTACTTTGCATCTTACAAAAATGTGTTTAAGTTATGAGATTCTTAAAATCTAACTTGTTTGCACAGTTCCCCCATTTCTCTTACTCCCACCTTATTTAATCTCACTGCTAATCAACAACCATGTGAAGTGTACTTTTAGGAATCTTTTATTACCACTGGTAAGCTGCAAATATTTGGGAGGCACTGATGATGGAATTGCTGGTAGAGATGAATCAAGAAAAACAAAATCTATCAAGATATCAAGTACAAAACTGTATTTTATTGAGTTTGGAATCCCCATGTATATGATAGGGCTAAAGTACTTTGGCCATCCTAAGCTTCTTCAAAAGGCACATTAGCAAGCAGATAGATTTGAAATGGAACAGCTAGCATTCAAACCAGCACTCAGATATAAAATGCAACCTCAAAGGTGATGGCTTCACTTGCTGTGCTAGAAATTCTTTCCCCATACAAGCGTTATTTGTGTGTGAAATTAGGGAAGCATGAATAAAGGGAATTAAAAGCAAGGTAAGGGAAAATACATAGAGATTTTCACTTCCTCCTACTTTGAAATTCAAAAGGGCTTGTTCTACTCTTTTCAAAGGCAAGAAAAAAATTAGAAAAAAATTGATAAGTCTTGGAAATGCCAAATAACACTTACATATTTTTTTCATTTAATAGGAGAATAATTAAATGAATTGCTTAATTAAGAGTCAGAAATAAGTCATGCAAAAATACAACCAAACAAGAAATAAAATATTGATTTATAGTTGATCTTGTTGAGACAATAGTCAAACAGAGATCCAGGTACTGAAAAATGCTAGCTCCAAATTTAAAGGAGGTGTTTATATGTAAGTATGTAACATATGTAAATATTTTACAATATTTGTGTTTCTGTGTTTGACTTATTTCACTTAACTTCCTCAAATATTCTTTTTGGTTCAAATGAAAGGATTTTATCCTTTTTGATATCTGAATAGCACTGAATTATGTGCATATATTTTCTTTATCTGTTCATCTCATGATAGGCGATTTCATTGATTGCATAGCTTGGCTATTTCAAACAATGCTGAAATACACATAGTAGAGAAATGCACTTGACAGTTATGTCAAATCTTTGGGGTTTATAGGTCTCAATCCAAACTACTGAATTATAGAGAATTTTGAAATAGTATTTCTGGATAGTTTAATGATGTTTATTTTCTGCTCCATTTAGGAGGAAATATGCATCATTCTTTATTCAATATGCCCACTTTGGGTACGAGACAGAGAGAGGGAGAGACAAAGAGAAAATCCTCCATCTGCTGGCTCACTCCCCAAACAGCTATCACAGCCAGAGCTGGATCCATCTGAAGCTGGATGCGGGGAGATTCATCCCAGTCTCTCATATATGTGCTGTAATGCAAGGATTGGGCCAGCACCCCTTGCTTTCCCAGGAAATTGGCAGGAAGCTGGATCAGAAGTGAAGCAGCCAGAGAGGAACTGACACTGACATAAGATGCCAGCACAGCAGACAGAGGTGTTATAGATAGGTGTGGGTCGCTGGAGGAAGTCCACCACAGTAAGGACTACCTATGCAACTGTGGTAAAATAATGTTATAGTTTAGTTGCCTAGATTTGGGTGTCTATAGTTGGATATGGAATGAGTGGACAGTTACTAACATGTTAATGAGGACTTTCACAGGGCCCTTGCCTCTTGAATGTGGTTTAGTGTTGGTTAGACTAGAGCACTAGATGCTTCTGGATTCATAATTTGGATAAAGTTGATGGACTCTGCACCAAGAGCTGGAAGAGACATTTTCTTGCTCGCTCCCTGAGTTAACAACAACATGGCCACATCATGGGTCAGTGATGGTATCCAAGGCTCATGACCACTACAGTGTCCACAATTGAGATGAAACTTGCTGCATACACTACTTGAAGTATGGGCAGTCACCACTGCTTCCCTGGACAAGCAGAATTCACTGAGACCTAGCAGAGTATAGCTGACATGAATTCAAGAAGCCATGTTAAGGTTTGCCCCTGCAGGACTGGGTAGCCTATTTTTGGGGAAGCATAGATAGATGAGGGAGTCTCATGCTGGGCCCTTTGATGACTGTGTTTTGTGGTCAACTAGCAATATACAGGGCTACCACTGATATGGACCATGAGATTGCTTTTAGTTTGCAACTGGATAATACTGAATGAGTCTGCCATTGACTAGAATGACTAGAATGGCTTTTTGAATTTTCTGGTGTGTTGACATACTGAATTTGATCCTGAAACTCCCGTAATTACACTTGCAGGCATAGCAACCTAAACATTGTCTGCAATGTGAGCATGGGGCCTTTTATTCAGTCTTGTTAATATCCCTCCAGCTCCTTTTTGATTGCAAATAAAATGTCTCATGTTTCTTCATTTAGCCTTGGGATATTGAAATTGAGCTTTTTTTCTCCCAAATTGGATTTGAATTATCTTTCTGTTAGATTTTATGCTGTTTTATTAACTTTTGCAGGTTTTTTGTGCCTAGCATTAACCTCTCCTAGTTTTGTTAGTTTATACTCCTGCTTTATCACTTTTCTGTCTCTGATATTTTCAAACATCTTATAAAAAAATAATAAAATATCCCTCCAATTTTTTATTACTGGGCTTCCTTTTTTTTGCATTTGATGCTCTCTGTCACTAGAATCCATTTGCTGTTAGAGTTTCAACTTCTTTATGGATCATTTACACAAATTTGTAAGAGGCTATAAGTACAGAGACTATTAAAGGATAGAATAGCTGGTTGAGTTAGTGTTTAACTGATTTTATGTGATCAAATCTCATTAGGACCTATGTAAGACTAAATTGCATAACAAGGCCACTTCTACATAATTATGTATTTTTCCCAACTCAGCCTGATGAAACAAAGAGAGATCTTGACAGTCTTAATAGGGTGATTTTTTTTCTTTTTTTCTTTTTAAAGATTTATGTATTTTTATTGGAAAGTCAGATTTACAGAAGGAAGGAGAGACAGGGAGAAAGACAGATCTTCCATCCACTGGTTACTCCCCAAGTGGCTGCAAAGGCTGGAGCTGAGCCTATCTGAAACCAGGAGCCAGGAGCTTCTTCCAGTCCTCCCACCTAGACTAAGGGTCCCAAGGCTTTGGACTGTACCCCACTACGTTCCCAGGCCACAAGCAGGCAGATAGATGAGAAGTAGAGTAGCTGGGGCATGAATCGGCGGCCACATGGGATCCTGCTATGCGCAAGGTGAGGATTTTTAGCCACTGAACCGTTGTGTCAAGCACAACAAGGGGGGTTTCTGACCTAGGAATGCTGACAGTGTTGCTATACAAAGCATCTGTGTTGTGGGCACATTTTGAAATTTTACATGATACCACATCTTTCTCTCTCATATGCATGTGTATAACGTAACATGTGAATTAAAAGTCCATATATGTATGTTATATACAATCGGTGTATAGTGCTCACTTCAGCAGCACACATACTTAAATTGGAACAGTACAGAGATTAGCATGGCCCCAGTGCAAGGATTACACGCAAATTCGTGAAGCATCCCATATTAAAAAATAATTATGTACAATTCATTATATGAAACAAAACTTAGAAGAGTAAAAAGCTTAACACATATTACCGATGCAGCAGGGGTTACATCAATGCAGTTCCGCTTTACTGAAAAACAGCACACTCTTTTATACGAGAGTAGTAAGGAAATCCTATCTGGGGGATTTTCAAGAGGGAAGTACCATAGTGAAGGTCGGGAGTGTGGAAATGGCCTCAGCCAACCAGTCCCTTTTCAAAACAACGTAGTTTTCTGCTTGATCCATGCCCAGAGCTCTCACGCTGGACACCATCTTTATTTGACGTGTTGATATTGCCTGTCCTAGGGTCCCACACAGAACCTTAACTGTCTAAACCATAATGCCCACTTCTCAATATTTGTCTTTTGAAATTTTCTCAATATTTGTATGAAATTGTATAGCTTTCCAAAGATTTTTATTTGTGCAACATTGTTTCCTAAAATCTTATCATAGAACTTCCAAAAGTTATAAGTATGAATAACATAATATCATTAAGAACTGAACATTAAGAAATATGTCCAGAGGCTGATACTGTGTCTTGAAGGATTAAGATGGTGCCTGCAGCTCTGGCATCCCATATGTGCACCAATTCATGTCTCAGCTTCTCCATGTCTGATTCCGCTCTCTGCTTATGCCCTGGGAATGCATCAGAAGATGGGTCACGTCCTTGAATTTCAGCACCCTTTTGAGAGAACTACAAATAAACTCCTGTTTCTGGCTTCAACGAGATCACCCCTGACCGTTGCAGCCATTTCAGGAGTAATCCAGTAGATGGAAGATCGCTGTGTCTTTTCTCTCTCTGTAAAAGTTGATTACAAAAATAAACAAATAAATATATCATTTTAGAGTAATTCTTACTGAATTCTGAATTCTCATAATAGAAAGCACTCTTGATTATGAAATATTTAATGTAATAGACAAAAAAATTTGAAAGGTAATCACAAAATGGAGGCAATAACATAAATAATGACAAAATATTTGCAAATAAAAGTAATATTAAATCTTAAATTCTGAAATGGTATATTTTAAAAATACATGTCTGTGTTGAAAACCTATTTGTCAAGCTACATAGCTGCCTGTCTCATTGAAGGATAACACGTGCACATTGAGATGTTACAATTGGATCAACAGGAATTATTCTAAATACCATCCTTAGGGTTGTTTCTAGACTTCCCATATCATCCTAAGGTTATTCTAAAATGTTACAATCTGTGAGTGGCTTTTGCATTAGAATAAGATAGAAATGTTTTTAAATAATTCCAAGAGGAGTAACCAGATGCACATCCAATGCTTTAATAATTCAGCTTCAAAGTTTGATTTTACCTTCAATCATAATTGATTGTGAAAGTTTTCCCAATATCCCACAGAGGCACTTGCCATCTGGAAATACCACATATTATATTGGTCTCTGCTCTCTGAATAATAAGTAATTAGAAAGCAGAAATGTAGGGTTCTTTAAAAATGTATTACATGTATTCCAACTAAGGAATGACCTTCAATGTTGAAGTTATATATTAATTAGAAAGAAGCATGCCCAGATTTTTTGTGAAAATAGAACATACTGGTGTGTTACTTAACAATGATTTTCATAAACTACTGCTAATAGTCAATTCCACACTTATTTGTAAAACGTAATTGCAGTATTTTCCTGAATTGAGCCATTAATGTTCTATAATAAGTAAGCTACTAATATTCCATAGTACATATGGACAATAAGAAGTAAAATGCAAATGATGCCTTCCTAAAAGTTTTTATTTCTTCTTGGAGCAATAATTTTGCGTTAACACCTTCTTGCATTTATGCTTTCTTGACATAGACCATAAAATCCTCGTAAGCAAAATATTTCAAGTTCAAACAGGACATTAAAGGGAGAAAATCAGGCAGTTCAATGAAAACATGAGATATTCCTGAATAAATGGTCATGTGCTGTTCATCAATTTTTTCTATGCATTTGACAGGATACTACAAATGCTAAATTTGAATGGGGCAGGGTAGTTATATTCTTAACATGCTCCTTCTCTGAAAGATTCTACATAGTAAGATACCACTAAAGAGTAGTGTTTGAACTCTCTGTGAATACTTAATGATCCATGGGACTGCATTAAGTTCCATGTAGGAAAATATATTCAAAGTAACTATCTACTGTAGATTAGATCTCCGTTAGATAACATTATGTGAAAATCACTTTGAGGGTAAGTCTTATAAAGCATTTTCAAAAGATTTTGCATGAATTTCCACTCATATTCAAGCACATGACAATCGTTGATAGTAGAGCATAAACTACTCAAAAGTTTGTTTTAGATTTGTTTTTGGTGATTGATAATTATTGTTGTCCTTTTTATGCCATTGCATAGAATAGTTAGAGTTATTCATATATTTCAGTGTGGTCACATGAAGTTCAAGTGATACGGTGAATAAAACTAGCTATATAATAATAATAAATGAGTACTTACAGGTTATTTAAGAATATTGATGATACTAAACACTGCAAACTCGTTGGGCAAATACATGAAGAAATTTTTTTTCTCTGGAATATACAGTAGCCAATATTTTTTGGCAAAATTAGTTAGATATAAGGCATCAGAACAGATTTAACATAACTTTTCAGAATTTTTGTTTTATTTATGGGATTTTTGGAAGAATTGGTATTTTTCTTCAAAAACAAGAAACCTTTAAGCTGCTTTAAGCTGAGAATAATGAATTGTATGTCTACAGAGTGTGGGGTGCTATTTTGTCTGGGAAAGATTCTATCCACCTAGTAATACATGCATCATGATCGACCTGGTTGCAGTTGGAGGATGGTGCTCAAGTCATTGCATAGCCACTCCTTTAGTAATTTTGAGATATGTTTCTATTTCAGTTGTGACACATTTAAACTCCAGAATGTCTGTTGAATTTATGAACATTATAGCTATAGATATAGATATTATCGGTCTTTGTTAATATCACCTATTTTGTGATTCATTATTTTTATGTGTTTTTAATTATTTATATGTGGTTTCGTATCTATCATCTTCAAAATAGATTACTTATATTTTGGGGTAGAAAATCAAACATCTGGGCCTGGAGCAATAGCCCAGTTGCTAAAGTCCTCTCCTTAAGCATGCGGGAATCCCATATGAGATTCGGTTCTAATCCCATCCAGCTCCCTGCCTGTGGCCTGGGAAAGCAGTTGAGAACGGCCCAAAGCCTTGGGACCCTGCACTTGTGTGGGAGACCTGAAAGAGGCTTTGGGATTCTGGCTTTGGATTGGCTCTGCTTGGTCCCTTGTGGCCACGTGGGAAGTAAACCGGTGGATGAAAGATTTTCCTCTCTGTCTCTCCTCTCTGTAGATTTGACTTTCCAATAAAAGTAAAATAAATCTTTTAAAAAGCAAACAAACAACCAAAAAAAAAAAAAACCAAATGTCTGAGCCCTCTCGGTGTTTCCTACCGACTCTCATTATTTCTTGAGTAGGTAGCATATTTCCTCATTATTTTTTATCTTTCACAGTTTGTTGCTGTAACCTGAGCAATTTAAACTAAATAAAGATCATTTTTTGAATGCATACTCTTTTCCCTTTCCTGAAGTAATTGTTTGCTTTAAGTAACTTATTGTACTTATTCTATAATAAGTGTAATTGTTTTTATTTGTGTATGTGTAGCCAATAGCTGAATATTCACTTAATTATGATGAGGTTTCCTTTAAAGTCTCCTGGACTTTCCTGAAGGACTGTTTCTTTCTGTAGAAGCAACTTGTCAATGCTCAGAACAGAGTTAGCTAAAATTTAGCCTTGGACTTTTCTTCCTGCTTTTGCAGAGACTTAAAACCCATCAAAGCTGACATCCTAACAGGTTTCACATCCTTTCTGCACGTTCATACAAGACTACACATGTGCATGGACATATTTTTCCCCAGGAATGTATCTGTATTTTCATAGCCCTCTAGGGACTTCTCAATTGTCAGCTTTCCTTTAAAATAGTTTGTTGATCATACTGACCCCTATTCCATGTGCATAAGCACTACTGCAGACAGGCCCTTCACAGCAGGAGAGTTCTAGGTAGGTAAAATAAAATACCCTTTATGAAAGCAGCACTTTACAAAGCTGGGTGATACACAAGGTAGTGACAGTTCTTAGGAACGGAGCTCTGGGAGAAGGAATGGGTTCTGCTTCTGCCTGTCTCGTTGGCTTCTAGGATGGCCTTTCTTAAAATGGTTAGAGCTTTGTAAATGCTCAAAACTGTTGTGGAAATGCAGAAAAGAGGGTGAAAATGAAGCTAATTCATTATGACCAAACACGGTGTTCTTAATTGTCATAAATTATTATTGGATAAATTCGCCTTGTATTTCTGAAGGTTTTAGGTTAATTTCCAAAGCTTTAAAAGTTCATTTCTTCAATGCCTGCCATTGATCTTATATTTCTTATGAAAAATCATTTTCAGAGATAGTAGTTTATCATACGGATTATCCGCTCGTAAGTACTTTTTTACTTTTTCCATGTATTTAAAATTAAACATTATTAATTACATTTTTGTCATAACATTACTGGTAATTTAATTTAGCATCATCAGCAATTCAGACTGAGAGATTATTGTAAACTCTCCTGAGATGTCTTTTGTAGAATGCATACATAGGGGAAAAAATTCATTATGTCAAAATAGCACATACTTTTGATGAATATAAAAATATTCTAACAGGTCAGAACTCTGACCACTTGAAATGTATGACTTGATATTATGAAATAGAGAAACATAAAATTAAAAATATTGATATTATAATTGGAGAAAACTTGTTCCAATTGTTGTGAAATAAATACCAAAAGAGAAGCTTGGCAAAATCTAGGATGCACAATATGAGAATTTCAATAAAAGTTAGTGAATGTGTTTCAAGACAGTGTAACAGCAGAAAAGTTGAGTATCAGTATGTGTTTAACAGAACAAAAACATCCCAAGCCAAGTAGAGTAAGCAAGATAAGAAGCAAGTTAATAGGCAAGGCACATTTAGTGA